ATGATCGACGCGCTGATCCAGACAAAGGGGCCGATGACATTCTGGACAGACTCTGATATTCTGAATGATCCAAGGTACCGAAGATGTGGATGGGCATGGATTGAAGTACACGCCAGTGAATTATCCAGCCGTGGAAGTAATAAAGGACCCTTGCCTGGCCCGAGACAATCCAATAATCGAGCAGAAATGTATGCCATGATCGACGCGCTGATCCAGACAAAGGGGCCGATGACATTCTGGACAGACTCTGATATTCTGAATGATCCAAGGTACCGAAGATGTGGATGGGCATGGATTGAAGTACGCGCCAGTGAATTATCCAGCCGTGGAAGTAATAAAGGACCCTTGCCTGGCCCGAGACAATCCAATAATCGAGCAGAAATGTATGCCATGATCGACGCGCTGATCCAGACAAAGGGGCCGATGACATTCTGGACAGACTCTGATATTCTGAATGATCCAAGGTACCGAAGATGTGGATGGGCATGGATTGAAGTACACGCCAGTGAATTATCCAGCCGTGGAAGTAATAAAGGACCCTTGCCTGGCCCGAGACAATCCAAAAATCGAGCAGAAATGTATGCCATGATCGACGCGCTGATCCAGACAAAGGGGCCGATGACATTCTGGACAGACTCTGATATTCTGAATGATCCAAGGTACCGAAGATGTGGATGGGCATGGATTGAAGTACGCGCCAGTGAATTATCCAGCCGTGGAAGTAATAAAGGACCCTTGCCTGGCCCGAGACAATCCAATAATCGAGCAGAAATGTATGCCATGATCGACGCGCTGATCCAGACAAAGGGGCCGATGACATTCTGGACAGACTCTGATATTCTGAATGATCCAAGGTACCGAAGATGTGGATGGGCATGGATTGAAGTACACGCCAGTGAATTATCCAGCCGTGGAAGTAATAAAGGACCCTTGCCTGGCCCGAGACAATCCAATAATCGAGCAGAAATGTATGCCATGATCGACGCGCTGATCCAGACAAAGGGGCCGATGACATTCTGGACAGACTCTGATATTCTGAATGATCCAAGGTACCGAAGATGTGGATGGGCATGGATTGGAGTACGCGCCAGTGAATTATCCAGCCGTGGAATAATAAAGGACCCTTGCCTGGCCCGAGACAATCCAATAATCGAGCAGAAATGTATGCCATGATCGACGCGCTGATCCAGACAAAGGGGCCGATGACATTCTGGACAGACTCTGATATTCTGAATGATCCAAGGTACCGAAGATGTGGATGGGCATGGATTGAAGTACACGCCAGTGAATTATCCAGCCGTGGAAGTAATAAAGGACCCTTGCCTGGCCCGAGACAATCCAATAATCGAGCAGAAATGTATGCCATGTTCGACGCGCTGATTCAGACAAAGGGGCCGATGACATTCTGGACAGACTCTGATATTCTGAATAAAGGCTGGCAGAAGAAGAAGTACCATATGAAGGCATTCCTCGGTGGCAACGCAGACCTCTGGCACAAGATGGGCAAGGCACTTGAAGCACGAGGGGCAGATGAAGACGAAGTACTAGTAAGACACATCCAAAGTCATCTCAGCCGAGAAGAAGCAGAACTACAAGGGTACCCACTACAAGCATGGTGGGGCAACAGACAGGCCGACGTTCTTGCTGGAGAGGCCGCTGAAGAACACGCTATTCCACGAGGACAAATGGATTGCTATGAATGGGTCAATGCCGTTGGTATGCTGATAAGAAGACGTATGTACAGATCCACCCTCCAAGCGATCAGCAAGAACCCCTCGATGACCATGGAAGACAAGGAGCTTAAAAGAAAACAGAAGCAATACGAAAAAGACCAGCTGAAGGATAAAGAAGACATCGAGGAGCTGATCAAGAACTCGCTGCATGTGCTCTCCCATAGGGCTAGTCTTTGGCATTGTAAAGCCTGCGCAGAGTCGTGTGTGGACTACACGAAAAAAGATGTGCTGAAGACCTGGCTAAAGAAAAAGTGCGCAGGCCACTCGGCAGGGACGAGAAACCACAAGCATCAAGTCCAAGCTGGAGGTCATCGCACACACGGAAGTCATGATATGCGACACGCAGTTCGGGCAAAGAGATGGTTCTGCTGGAACTGCGCAGCGAGTTTCGACGGAGAAGGTAAATGCAGAATCGGTGGCAAGCTAATTGAATCATGTGAAGGACGAGCCTCGAAAGGCATGGAGCACAAGCTGAAAGCGTTTCGAAACCAAGCAGAACGGTAGGCCCTGGCCCTCAGCCTGCGGGCCGAAGGGAGGCGCCCAGGACCTGCACGACAAGACGGAAAGCCACGGAAGACACAAGCCACTTTGGCGAGGATGCCGCGGAAAGGAGGTCACAAAGTACCTCAGCCGCGAGCAGGGGCGAAAAGACAGCAGTACTACCCGACGCGCACCAGACGCAGAAGGAGAAGAGAAGGAGGTGGCACCGTGCCGCCTCGCGGGGGGGCCCCCAGCCCGCTGGGCCGAAGGGGGGGCCACCCGTGCCCCGTGTGGCAGACGGGGCCGCCGAGTCCAGCCTGGACTCAAGGCGACCGTCAGAAGACCTGGGGCCTGCAGGAGCAGGGCAGGCCCCAAAAGGGCTGGGGGCGACAGGAGCAGGGTCGCCGCCCAGTCGCAAAGATAGGGCACCTGCAGGAGCAGGGCAGGTGCCCTAAAAGGTCTGGGAGCGACAGGAGCAGGGTCGCTGCCCAGTCGCAAAGAGGGCCCTCGGCGGCGCGGCAGTCACGCCAGCGCCGCCGAGGCTGTCAGCATCGCTGCCGCAGCACGGGCAAAAGGGCCTGTGCGCGGTAGAGTGGGTGGGGGCGCAAAGGTGTCCCGCGACCCACCAGCGACCACCAGCGATCACTGATCCCAGGGAAATCTTGGAAAAAAATCCTCCTCCTCCTCCTCCTCCTCCTCCTCCTCCTCTCCCCCATCGGTATCTGGCTCGGCGGCAGGCGCTGGCCTGCCAGGGGGGCGGCGCCCTCTGGCTGGGGAGCGGGAGGCGGGAGGGTGGGTGCGGGGGGGAGGGGCCGGCTCTCGGATTTGCCCGGGAGGCTCTCGGCAGGCGGGGAGCATCTTCGGAACTGTGCAGTCACCGCCCAGGGGTGCGCAGGTAGATGCTGAAGCTCGCGGCTGCCACCCGCGACGATGGCCAGAGGGCGCGAGGGAGGAGAGAGGAGGGCGCCAAGCGAGGCCCGCTCCATCCCTCGGATCGCTTGCCAACCCTGCGGCCTTCTGATCCCAGGGGCACACGAGGTCGAGATCTGGCGAATGCGCCTGGCTGGCCTCTGCCATGTACCAGCGGCTGCGCTGCTATCAGCGGAGGCCACTGCTGGGGTGTCACTGGAACTGTGGCCGAGCGATGGAGAGGTCGCGGCCCTGTCCCACCTCGGCGGCGAAGTAAACGAGGAGGAGGCGGAGGAGGCGGAGGCGGAGGAGGCGGAGGACAGGACGGGACAGGACATCCGCAGGAGGGGGGTCCACGTCAATGCGAACGAGAAGGTGCAGTGTAGAGCGTTTGCGTACTTCCCCTGCGTGAGTGTTGTGCAGTAAGGACTTGACTGAAGGGGCCCCAGGACACACAAATAAATACACACAACTAAAAAGATTCCCCATATTTCCCTACATTTTCAGGTTTGTTGTCTTCCCCCCCCCACCTCCAATATTTTCCCAAAAATTTACGGAGAATCGACGATTACTTGTGTCTGTGTGTTTTTCCCCCTCCTGATTGACAGCCCTTCGACACCCTATCGAAGGCACCGGGGAGGAGGAGGACGACAAGGGCCCTGGCGCGCCCGGCGCCCGGCGGGCGGAGCCCCCCCACCTCGGGCCTCATGGGCGTGGGCGGCTCTCCAGGCCACGGCCCGTCCGCCCCCCCGGAGGCCGGCACCGAGCCGCCATGGCTCTCGTGGCTGCTGCCGGGCGGGCAGCCTCCGTGTCGCTGCTGCTGCTGCTGCTGCTGCTGCTGCTGCTGCTGCGACGCGTGGGGCACAGAACAAGCCGACGCCAAGAGGAGGATGGCATCGGGTGAGGATGCATCGCGAACCACCGAGACATCCGGCGGCTCTGGAGAATGTCGCGGGCGCCGCGGCCTTCTCGGAGCCTTCCGGAACGCTCTGAGAGCGTTCCAGAGCGATCCGGAACGGAGTTATCCTCGTCCTGACCCCGTCCGACGGAAGCCGCTGAGCTCGGGCGTGCCGCTGTCTGGCAGCGTGAACATTGCTTTGGCCCAGCGTCTGTGCCGCTCGCACCTTGGTGGACTCGGCAGCTCGACGCGGCACAGCATCGAGAGAGCACTTGGAAACGTCAGTAGTTGCGCGCCGAATGCACTGGTGGCGCCGAGCGCAAACGCGCTCTTCCTTCTCTGACTCCTGCTCAACACTCTCGGCGCCGACATGCAATACGTTTTCATGCTTGCTAAAAGAACGGTGTCGTGGAAACGATATCATATTAAGTTTAAGCAGCATTGTAACATCCAGGTGTATTCAAACAATGCTGTGCCACATGGTACTTCTTATCATTTTCATTCGTACTATTACTCGTATCAATGATATGTAGTATTACTTTAAAAATGACCTTATTATACATATACTCCCTCTCTTCTGCCATCAACTCTACGAGCATGTCCGTTCCACAATTCTGAACGCATGTCGGTAAAACCCTAGAAGATTCAGAACACCTTCAGGAGCTTCCAGAACCTGCCGACTCCCTCAGTGTAAGAAGCCACGCAGCAACTCACGCACATCATCTGAACATCTGCAAGACCGACCCCTCCTCCTCCTCCTCGTCCGCCTCCGCCTTCCTCCTCCGCCCTCGCCTCCGCCTCCGCCTCCGCCTCCGCCTCCTCCTCCTCCTCCTCCTCCTCCTCCTCCTCCTCCTCCTCCTCCTCCTCCTCCTCCCCCTCCCCCTCCTCCTCCTCCTCCTCCTCCTCCTCCTCCTCCTCCTCCTCCTCCTCCTCCTCCCGCCACGCCCCCAATCTTCATCCTCCCCTGCCGCTGCCCCGGCCTTGTCAAACAAAACTCGCTCGACGTCCCCCTCCGGGTCCGCGCCAAAATTGAGCGGCATCGGCGCGCCTCCCATGAGGACGAGGACGGGCAGGGAATGGGGGGGGCAGGCATTGGGAGGGGAGGGGCGGGGAAGAGGAGAGTGGGAGGACAAGGGGGAGGAAGGGAGGGCAGGATGAGGAAGCGGAGAGCATGAAGGCTGCTCAGGAAACACCCCCGCTTCTTAGAAGGCGCGGGCCTTGTCTGTAGATGTAGGACCGCGCCTTCTAAGAAGCAGCCTCCTTCTCAGAAGCAGTCCCCCCTCCCCTAATCCCTCGTGCGCGCCGCCAGACGAAGGGGGGCCGAGAGGGGAAATCAGAGGAAGGAGGAAATGAAAGGTGAGGCGACGAGGAGGAGGAGGAGGAGTAGGAGGAAGAGGATGAAGAGGAGGAGGAGGAGGAGGAGGAGGAGGATGAGGAGGAGGAGGAGGAGGAGGAGGAGGAGGAGGAGGAGGAGGGGGAAGGGGGGAGGGGGGGGAGGGAACGGGAGATGATGAAGGCGGCGGGAGGAGTAGGAGGGGGAAGGGAACCAGGCGGAGCGGATCCCCCCCTTCGCAGGGCTGACTGCCATCTATAATTGAAACCTGGCACGAGGACAAGAACACGCTCGCTAGGAGAACTTCCGCCACTCGACGAGCATCCTGAGGATGTCCGGTAAACCCTCGTCGTCATCGTCGGCGCCGTCCTCCTCCTTCTCCTCCTCCTCCTCCTCCTCCTCCTCCTTCTCTTCTTTCTATCTCCTCCTTTGAGAGCCAACCAGCCTCCTCGTCCCAATGGGGCGGAGGTTGTATGGGGGAATGGGGGGTCCATGAAAGCAGAAGAGATCAAGATCGGGGAGACGTAAGACTCGGGTTCAGGCGAATGTGGTTGGCCTGACAGGACCGCCAGGAAAATGAAGAGGCCCAGTCTGAAGTCTGACGCGGGCTCCCGCTGCAGACGTCCCACGAAGACGAGACAGTCAAAATCCAGGATGGGGCTCGCCAAAAAGCGTGGGCGAAACCGAGGCCTGGCGAACTCGAGCCTTCCCCGACAGGATGGCGGAGGGCGTCGGAGTCTGTCTGGCAAGCCTCTCGCCGTAGGAGCTGATAAGGGAGGCGCGCAAGCGCAAGGCTCGCCCGCCCCCCCGCCCCACCGAAGCGGCCGCGAGCCGAGGACCCCCCGAGGCAGGACACTGGCGACCGGGGCGTGGGGAACTCCCGCGGGAGAGGCCGAAGACTGGAGGCTGCCCCGCCCCAGGGCTGCCCCTGGCTCGGCCGGGTGCGCCAGCGTCCTGCGTCACAGTCAAAGCGAAAGAGCAAGGACGCGCGAGAGGGGTGCAAGGGCCCTGGGGAGGCCCTGCCGACAGTCTGCGAGCGGAGCGCGGCCAGCGAAAGCGGCCAGGGATGGGCCGGAGGGGGAAGATGCAGTGCCAGCGTGGAAAAATACTCATCCTCACTGTGCGGGTTCACTGTCATAGTTCAGGAGAGGACGACATCAGGAGGAGGAGGGGGAGGAGGGGAAGGAGTGGGGAGGAGTGGAGCCCGTTGCGGATGCTGGAGAGGAACAGGAGGAGGAGGAGGAGGAGGAGGAGGAGGAGGAGGAGGAGAAGGAAGAGGAAAAGGAGGAGGATGATGAGGAGGATGAGGAGCAGGACCAGTGTAGACCCAAGAGTCATCAACGATGTTGGAATTAACCCTCCCTCCAAGCCCCCTTTTAATATACCCTTGCAACGGTTCATCTCCATTGAGGGAACTGCCCCGTTGGAAGACAACCGTTTGAAGACCTTGAAGCATGCCAAAACATTGTTCTCGGGATTTCCACGCCACGGATCAACCAGACTGCTGCGTCCTGACCATCTGGAATCGTATGACAACGTCATTCTGGGGAGTTCAACACCGCGAGCCAACATAACTGTTCCAACCACATAATCCTGAATCCGTCCAAAACATCATGCCTGGTACGCTGATGACGGGAATAAGTGAAACTCTTGCAAATTTAAAAAAACATAATGTGCGCGGTGCTGAAGCCAGAGCCACATGTTTTCAATGAGCCGCCCTCAATCCGTGAAACTGTTGCAACTTGTTTTAAACCATGTGCGCGGCGTTAAAACGAGCACAACATGTTGAAAACAACCTGCCCTCAATCCGTGAAACTCTTGCACAATTTCAAAACGAATGTGCGCGGCGCTAAAGCGAGAACCAAATTTTGAAAGGGGCCCGCCCTCAATCCGTGAACCTTGTATAATTTCGGAAAAAAACGAACGTGCGCGGCGCTGGGGCGAGAACAACATTCTGAAAACCACCCGCCGTCAATCCGCGAAACTCTTGCAAATGATGAAAACGAATGTGCGCGGCGCTGGGGCGAGAGCCACATTTTGAAAACCACCCGCCCTCAAGCTGGGAAGCTCGTGCAAATCTTGAAAAACGAATGCGCGCGGCGCAAAGGCGAGAGCCACATTTTGAAAAGGACCCGCCCTCAAGCTGTGAAACTTTTGCAACTTCTTAAACCGAATGTGCGCGGCGCTACGGCGAGAGCCCGCCCTCCATCTGTGAAACGGTTGCCATCTTTAAGCTTCGGAATCATGCATGGTGAGGGAGTCTCAAGCGAAACGCCCAGCCCGCCCTGAAAACTGACCTCGTGGTGCGACGACAGGGAGGAATTATTCTTAAGGAAAAGGAATGGAAAAGGAGGAGGAGGAGGAGCAGGGGGAGGAGAAGGAGGCGGAGGAGGAGAGAGAGGAGGAGGAGGAGGAGGAGGAGGAGGAGGAGGAGGAGGAGGGAGGAGGGAGAAGGAAGGAGGAGGAGGAGGAGGAGGAGGAGGAGGAGGAGGAGGAGGGCGATGAGGAGGAGGAGGAGGAGGAGGAGGAGGAGACGACGGAGGAGGAGGAGGAGGAGGAGGAGGAGGAGGAGGAGGAGGAGGAGGAGGGAGAAGGCAATGCGATGAGGACGAGGGGGCAGCCGACTGTATGAGTGCTTGGGGGAGCCCTAAACGGGGGCGGCGCGGGGCGGTGCTGGAGCAGGCGGCCGTGCAGAGGAGCAAGAGGGGCGGGCAGGATGGCGCCGCTCCTCGGCGACGCTGGCGCGAGGCCTTCTCGAGGTGCCCACGAGGAGGCCGGCAGGCCCTTTCAGGGGCCGAGCGCGTCCAATAAGACAACTTTCGCGGCGCAGCGCGGCAGGGGCAAGGCGTGAGGGCCTGAGAGCCTGCAAAAACAGCCATGCGCTTCGCGCGGCCAACAGCCTGCACGGGGCCAGCCAAGGTGCCGAAACGGGCACGAGGGGCCGGATTATTATTCTTTTTACGTCGCAGCGCGGCAAAGGCACTCCGCGTGCGCGAGAAAGCGGTGCAGGAAATGGGGCACGCAAACTATCGGGCGGCAAGCGGGGGAGGAGACAGGCCAACGCGGGCGCGGGGGGGAAGGAGGGGAGGGAGGGCACTCACATGGCGGGGCGCATCGCCTTGGAACGGCCGGGGCGGCCAGCCAGTGCTGCATCACCTTAGCAGGGCTCGGGACACGCATCCGAAAACCTGGGGGGTCGGGGCCGATGCGGAGCGGGCGGACGAGGATCTGGTTCGACCCGCGTGCCGTGCCACGTGTGCTCGGGGGCCCAGGGAGGTGGTCTCTACCTGCTGAGGCCTGGAAGCCCTCGTGCAGAAGATTGCGTCTCTCCGCGGGCGGTGCGCTGGGGCGTAATCGTAGATGGATCGGACAGTCCGAGCGACGGGGCCGATCGAGCCGACTGCGGACAGCAGGCGGGCGAACTTATCATGAAGCAACTCGGCTTACGCTGCGCGCCTATCCACCAGTTCGCTCGCTGACGTAACAAGTGTGAATGAGGTGGAGGGGAACCACGAGGGATGGGATGAGACCCAACAACTGGTGGCTGACACATCATGGAGGTTGCCATTTGGTGGCAAATTCGGCCCTGTGTAGGCCAGTTGCGGGCCCAATCGAACAACTCAGCCCCGAGGGCGATGTCGAGCTGCTCGAGGGCCGTCGCTCCCAAAAAGCGGACTGCCGGATACCCAGGGACCAGGGAGAGGGCCAATACGCGTGGGTCGGCAATGTGTCGAAACCTGAAGTGGGAAGGCATTGGAAGTAGATTGGGCTTCCGCCCGCCCCCTGAGGAGGAAGGAGTAGGGCAAACCATTCGATCCTTGAATCAGGACGGAGCCTAAACTAGACTGGGATCTGGGCATCGCAACAGCGCTACCTCCAACGACCGGCGTGTATGGGCGGGAAGGGAATGGACACACACGCGGCGCACCGTGCACCTTCGGCAGGCCTGTGACTCTGCAGGACAGCGGCCCGGAGCGGTCGGTGAGCAGGCACGCTGGCGGGCCGCATCGGCAGCCCCTGCTGGTTGTTCCCCCCCCCCCCCCCAGCAAACGCCCAACAGCAACCTCCCCCGCGCCGTCTGCACATCGAATCCGCTTCCCTTTCAGCGGGGCTAAGGGGAGGAGGGGAGGAGGGGAGGAGGGGAGAGGAGGGGGGGAGGGGGGGAGGGGGAGGAGGAGGGGAGGAGGGGAGCTCCCATTGAAGAGTCCAGGCGCTGCCGCCCCCCTGCAACAGCAGCCCTGCCGCTTCTCCAGCGAGGGCAGGGGCTGCGCAGTGTCGCGACAAGACATTTGCAGAAGCACAAAAATAAAGGGGCCCCAGGACACACAAATAAATACACACAAATCAAAGGATTCCCCATATTTTCCCATATTTTCTGGGTTTTGGCCCTCCCCCCCACTTCCCATATTTTCCCATATTTTCTGGGGAATCGACGATTAATTGTGTCCGTGTTTGTTCCCCTCCTGAAGAGAAGAGGAGGCAGACGGGCACTCCAGACCCGCGCCCCCCCCGTCCCCCGAGGGCCTTCCAGGGGCACGGATGCTTTTCGCCGGGGTTGGCTTTCGCTGGGCTTCTTTTCGCCGGGCTTCGTTTCGCCGGGGTTGGCTTTCGCCGGGGTTATTGGCTTTCGCCGGGGTTGGCCTTCGCCGGCGGTTGGCTTTCGCCGGGTTGGCTTTCGCCGGGTTGGCTTTCGCTGGGGTTGGCTTTCGCCGGGGCCGGGCGGGGAGCAGGCGCCGCCGCCGCTGGCGTGGCCGTCGCCGCCGCCGTCGTGACCCCCCGGGAGCCCTTGGGGCGAGCCGCTTGCCCAGGCGAAAGGGGCGAGGACAGGGAGGCGCCGGATACTCTAGAATAGTTGACGCATGGCCGACAGGTTGGCGATAAGCCCCCAGACAGGGAAGCCCCGCGTTCCTTGGCAGGGCGGGGCGCTCTGGCGCCAATCGGCGATGAGTGGGTGATGGGGTATCTATGTCTCCTGTCCCCTCTGAGCAATTTCTCCGTTTCTCTTCGCCCCCGGAAGCGGCGGGGGTCGTGGTGGCGGTCGCAGCTGGTGGGGGGCATTGGCGGTGGTAGTGGAAGCTGTGGCGGAAAGGGGCGCGCCGAGACCTCCGACGCCCGGGAAAAACAAAACGGTAAGTTTTGTGGGCCGGGGTCGGCCGCATAGGGGGCCGGGACGACGGCCCTATAGGACGCGCCAGGATAAAAGCCTGTCCTCCGGAACGACAGCGGACCCGAGGGAACCGCCGGCGTAAACAAATCCCGGGGCCCTAACGGGCGGGTCGGGGCGGGCGGGGCACTAAAGTGCGGGGGGGGGGGCGCTCGACTGACCACGCGCGGGCCCACGCGTGGGCCCACGCGTGAACCCTGACGGGCGGGTCCGGTCGGGCGGGCGGACCAATGGGCGGGGACGGGTCGGGTTGGGGTCGGGCGGACCCTAACGGGCGGGTCGGGTCGGGCGGGCGGGACACTAAAGTGTGGGGCGCGCCAGGACGAGCACGCGTGAACTTTAACGGGCGGGTCGGGGGTCGGGTCGGGCGAACCCTAAACGCGGGACGGTTCTGGTCTGGCGGGCGGACCCTAACGGGCGGGTCGGGTCGGGCGGGCGGGACACTAAAGTGTTGGGCGCGCTCGAGTGGGTACGCGTGAACCTTCACGGGCGGGTCTGGTCTGGCGGGCGGACCCTAACGGGCGGGACAGGTCGGGTGGGGTCGGGCGGACCCTAACGGGCGGGTCGGGTCGGGCGGGCGGGGCACTGAAGTGTGGGGCACGCCGGAGCGAGCACGCGTGAACTTCAACGGGCAGGTCGGATCGGGTCGGGCGGACCCTGACGGGCGGGTCCGGTCGCGGGCGGGCGGACCCTAACGGGCGGGTCGGGTCGGGCGGGCGGAACACCAAAATGTGGGGCGCGCTCGAGTGGGCACGCGTGAACCCTAACGGGCGGGTCGGGTCGGGCGGGTGGACCCTGACGGGCGGGACTGGTCGGGTCGGGTCGGGCGGACTCTATCACGCGGGTCGGGTCGGGCGGGCGGGGCACTGAAGTGTGGGGCGCGCTCGATTCAGCACGCGCGAACCCTAACGGGCGGGTCGGGTCGGGCGGGCCCACCCTGACGGGCAGGACTACTACGACGACAACGACCACGACGAGGACGACGGCAACGACGGCGACCAGGAGGACGACGACGACAGCGACAACGGCGAGTACGGCAACGACGACAACGTCTAAGACAACGACGACGACCACCACCACCACGACAATCACACAACGACGACGACGACGACGTCGACGGCGACGACGACGACTTTACGACAACGAGGAGGACGACGACCAGAACGACGACTCCCCGTCCTCCCGTTCCCGTCCTGGTCGCCCTCCTCCGTTCCCCTCGCAGCTTTGCTTTTCCTGTCCTCCTCTGGCCCGCGGCCCTCTCCCGGGATCCATGCCCGTCGCCCGCGCTCCTGATGGACGCGGGAACCCATGCGAAAACGAGCCCCGGCGACAGCCAACCCGTACGGGTTGGCTGTCACACGGGCGAAAGCTAACCCGGGCGAAAGCCAACCCGGGCGAAGGCGAAAACCAACCCGGGCGAAAGCCAACCCAGGCGAAAGCCAACCCGGGCGAAATCCAACCCGCGGGAAAAAAAACAAACCCGGGCGAAAGCCAACCAGGCGAAAACAAATCCAAGCGAAACGAACTGGGCGAAACGCACCGGGCGAAAACCAACCCGGGCGAAAAACATCTACGCCCTTCCAGGGCCCCCCCCCTCGAGGCCTTCCCCAGGAGCTCCACGGAGAGGCGTGGCAGAGAGAGCACGCCAGCGCAGGGGCAAAAACTTCGATACCCCGGAACCGCGGAACCTGGTCCCCTACCCACTCCCTCCTTCCTTCCCCCCTCCCGTTCCCTCCCGCGCCCCCTTCTTCCTGCCACTGCTCCGCCCTCTCGTTCCGCAGGGGCGCTGGTGCAGGGTTTCGGGAAGAGGAGGAGGAAGAGGAGGAGGAGGAGGAGGAGGAGGAGGAGGAGGAGGAGGAGCTGGTGTAGGGTTACGGCTGCGTCTTGCCCCCCCCCCCCCCCCCTGCCCTGCCCGGGCCTGTCCTCCGCGCCGGGCGCTGCGCCGCGCGGGGTGCCCGCGCGCGCGCGAGGGGCGCGAGCCTTCCTTCCTTGAGAGAGTGTCCAGCATTCGGGGGGCGAGCAACCATCCTCGGACTTCTCCCTGTCCTCGCGATGGACACGCCAAACGGCGAGCACAATCTTCGAGATGCGCCCCCGAAAACGAACGGAGGGAAGCCTCGAGATCGGCATCGAGATGAGGGGCGATGCCCATCATAGGGATGGGGGCGTGTTCCTGGGGGGGCCAAAAGGTACCGATACCGCTACTCCCCAGACCTCTCGGGGTGCGTTCTGACCTGCACTTGGAAGCGGATCCAGCGGTGGCGACGGGGACCTCCGAAGAGGCCAACAGAAAAGGGGAAAACAGGCGGCGAAGGCTGGCGGTAGGACTAGCTTTCCCTCCTCCGAGTTCCAGGCTGGTCAGGGCGGGGAGGCAAGACCTCCTCCTCCTCCTCCTCCTCTTCTTCCTCCTCCTCCTCCTCTGCCTCCTCCTCCTCCTCCTCCTCCTCCTCCTCCTCCTCTACTCCTCCTCCTCCTCCTCCTCCTCCTCCTCCTCCTCCTCCCCCTGCTCCGTACCTCCTCCTCCTCCTCCTCCTCCTCCTCCTCCTCCTCCTCCTCCTCCTCTCAGACAAGCAGGCAGCTGGAGCTTGGGGCACCGTTGCAATTTGAGGAGCCCGCGTGCACCGTCGCGTGCCCGCGACCCGGGCCGAGGCACTGCGCACACGGTGCAGCAGCACGCGGCGCGGAGCGGCCTCCGCGGAGGCGAGGCGTGCAGCAGAGGGCGGGCTGCGACGAGCAGAGGGGAGAGGAGAGGAGACTGCAGGGCGAGGGGCGTCGTCGTCTTCGGCTTCATTGTTTTGCCGACCGGCGCGGGCCCTCGCACCTCCCCTCCCCCCCCCCCCCCCATGGAGTGGATCTTGGCTGTGTTTGACGCCCTTGCCAGGCAGGTGGGGTCTCTCCCCCATAGGACGCGCTGCCGCAAACAGTCGCATTAAGCAGGGGTTCGGAACCAGACCCCCCCCCTTCCCCGCCCGCTTTCCGCCCTTTGTGGAGACACCAGATAAGAAAACGCTCACCAAAGAAGATACGCCGCGAATCTATATATATATATATATATATATATATATATATATGTACACACGCAGACACCCCACGACGAACTTTACGCGTACCTTCCGGGAGGGCGGCGGCGTAGACCGCCACTGGCTCGCAGTGGTGGTTTGTACACCGCCGCCCTTCCATGAGGCCCAGGAACAATATATTGGAGGGTGTCTGTGTATCTGTTTTTGTGTCGGAGAAGAGGAAAACGGTGGTACGGCGGCAGTGGCCGTGGGCGCACGGTGGATTGGCAGCAGAAGCCGCTGCCTCCCCAAAGAGCGGTGGACGCTGGCGCACCCACGGCTTGCAGCACGTTGCTGGGTCGGTCATGTGTTCCGAGTCCACTTGGCGCATAAGAGCCGTGCAATCATGTCACGTACAACGGCCAAAGTGTTGGGAAGCGCGGGCAAACAAATCAATATCTGCCACACTAATTCGAGCACGCTTGATCAACTGCGGTCACCGCTGCCAACTTTGACCTCTGGCGGATTGATTGTTCAATCCCTGGGCCAAGGAACTGTTGAACCCTTCCCCGCGGCAAGCTTCCATGCTAGATGATTTTGCGATGACCCCTGGGCATGGGAACAACCCCCGGGAGGCCGATACATTTGAAGAACAACCGATTCGCCCGAGGTCTGGGCTCTGGGCTTCCTGCCCCCTTCCAAATCTATCCTGTGGTGCCCCCAAGCCAGTTACTCGAAGCGGATACAGCAATGGCGCCAAGAGATCCCCGACGGGCCCCAGCACGCTTAGAAAATCGGTCTTCGGTCCTCGATCTTCACCCCAACTCCTGCTCTCCCTCCGTTTCCGAATCTCCTTCCTCGTGCTCATCCTCCTCCCGTCCCGTGCCAAACTCATGCCCATCGCGATTGGGACCTGCAACATATTTGTGTAGGAAGAGGAGGGCGAGGAGGAAATGGCCCATCGTGGGACATCCCGCGAGGCGTTTCAAGATTTGGTGGCCATGGTCGTCCACCCACGGCCGTTCTCACCTGAAGCAAACCGCATCAACTTGAACGGTTCCTTCCTAGGACTGCTGAGGGCCAAATATGCCAACCGCACGGGCTCACTGGGACCACGATGTGGTACTATCCTCGCTACAAACGTCGCGCTGCCGTGCCGCCGAGTGCTTGCACAGAGATGTATCAGTTCAGCAATCAACTAAGACAGCGTGCTCTGTAAGCAGTGAGCTCGTGCACCATTGATGTGCAATACATGCGATGCAAGCTGTGTCATGTACCCTGTGTATGATGCAGCGTATCCGTTGTACATAAACTGAGTGGGGCAAGCTGTGTGCTGTGCAAGCTGTGTGGTGAAGTCTGTGCGATGGCAGCCATGCGACGAAGCCCACGTGCTGCAAGCTATGCGTTGCGAGCGACGCGATGCAAGCCATGTGATGCGATCTATGTGGTGCGAACTATGTTGTGCACCATGCGAACCACGGGAGAGCACCATCCCCCCCCCGTCGGGGAACCCCTTCGAATAGCCCCATCGGGCCCCTCAGGGGCGGCACGGCGGGCCCGCACCTCCAGCGGTTGGCCAACCACACGGCAACAGTCTTTCCCACGAGCCCCGTCGGGCTGCCGTGACGACAGGGCTGCCAAACCACCTATGTTTCCCTGGGGCGCCGCGAGGGCACCCAACGGCACAGGTGCCGACACCCCCCGTGCACCCAACCAGTGCCTGGGGCTCCCACGCAGCGCTGGCATCCGGCGAGACCCCGCCACGCTCGACCAGCGCACGTTGGCACCCCGCGGGCGGCCACCGGCCAGGCACCAGGCGACATTTCCGCCACGCCCATCACATGTCTGGGGTGGCCCAGAGAAGAGCCCCCAAACGGACGCACCGCTTGGGGAAACGTGTGTGCGCGTGTCTGCCGGAGTGGGCCCCAAGCGTGTCCTCTTGAAGTCTCGGTGTGTACTCTATATGGAATGCTGCCTGTGCACGGTGCAGTCTAGATGGAGTAAGTTGCGCGTCGTAACACACGCGGCGCAACCTACGTGATGCACTATCTGTGATGCGTCATCTGTTTGCTCTTGTCAGTGGTGCGACGCATCGAATAGCATCTGCGTCCTACGCGGTGGAACTTGGAACTGATTCCGTCCGTGCTGCGATCAGCGTGGCGCAACCCGGCGGTGCAGTACTTGTGGCGCAACCTGTTTGGAACAGCGTCCGCCACCGTGCCTTCGGTACGTAGTGTTAAGTCCGGCGTGTCCCCCTACAGGGGGATTTTTGGCAAAACACGAAACATACTGAAAACATGCGCCCCCCATGGGCAAAAAAAATCAAGAAGTCGTCCCCAGACTATCTTTTTCGACTATTTCTGAATATTCCTCCTGTAGAGGGACAGGCCCGACTTGAACGTAGTGGCGTGCCCCAAGGCTCATGCAGCACTGAGAGGTCAAAGGCTTGCGGTTCTGAAGGGACGGGAGCCCCCGGTTCCCCAGGCGCTCCAGGGCGCGGCTGCGCCCTCTTGGTCTCTCTCTCTCTCTCTCTCTCTCTCTCTCTCTCTCTATATATATATATATATATATATATCGCTCGTGCATGAGGGGCGCCACGAGTGTCCTTCCGAGGCCTACGCGGGCACTCTAGTTAACTCCACGAGAGCCACTGCTGCTCGTCGAATTTCGCATAGATGGCCAGCCCACTCCTCTTGCTGGAGCGACGGCGGAGGCGAGACGCGTGCAGCGTTGTACATGTGGAACGCCATGACAATGGCCTCCACGGCCTCGAGAGTCGGGGCTCCATTGAGCCCGATCCTGGCCATAATACAAGACGGGGGGTCACGGTCCCTTGGATAGGCCAGACCCCACAAAACTTCACACTGGAGGTAGTGAGCAAAAGTATCTGGGGCTGAGATCAGCGGGGGCTCACGGCAACGAAATTTACAAGCCTGTACTCCGCCCGCCGCGTGGAGCCTGGCCGTTGTTAGCCATGCTCCCACTATCGTCTTCAGCACTGCACTCTGCCACGCAGGGCTGACCTGCTCGAGTATACCACGGAAAGGAGGCCAGGAGTGGCGAACAGCACTGAGGCCCCAAGATTTCTGACGCCGCGCCAGCACACTGGGGAGAGCGTCGGGGAAAAGGGAGGAGTGAAGGGAACGAGAAATAATTTTCTGGACCCGCACGCGTGCAGCCCTCTCCTCGGCAGCAGCGCGCTCCGCCTCCAGGGCGCGCCACGCCTGGGCGGCATGGCCTGCGAGCGATGTCTCACTCGCGAAGCCCTCGGAGGCCTCCGCCAGGCTCACCACCACTGGCCGTGTCTTCCAGTGGACGGGCGTGCACCGCGCCTGGCCGATCGCCAGGAGTGAGCCGTGGCTCGCCGTCTGCTCCTGGAGCCATGAGTGCAGGCTCTGCCAGTTGGTGATCGTGACCGTCGCAGCTCTCATGAGGGACGCCAGTCCTGTGGCCTGCATAGACCTGATCCTCAGCGACGGCGCCCACCGCCCCAGACTGAGAATATCGTTCCTGGCCAAGCTCTGCGGCGGCATGTGCCAGATCTTCGTGATGGCCCACGCCTCACGATCCAACAGCTCCTTGGGCACCCGCGCAACCTGCTGGAGGTAACCCAGCATAGGGGGAATCCTCTGGTTGTAGAGCTTGGCCGACAGCGACGAGTGAGCCCCGCGCTGGGCCAGGTCGACGACGCGCGCATGCCACTTCGCGGCAGCCTTCCTCCAGACGTCCTGCTCCGACGCTCCTGGCCCGATCATGTGCCCGAGATACTAGGCGTAGCCGCGAACCGACGTGGCCGCCCAGCTCGGGATCCACGCCTGCAGCCACAACGTGAGCTCCTGCTTGGGCTCCTCCGTCACGGGGCCATCCAAAGGAATGAGCACGCACTTGGCCAGTTTCAAGCGCAACCCTGCCAACGCTCGGGCCGCCTCGAATGCCCTCCACATGCCGAGAAGAAGCCGCCTCGATCGTAACACAGCGCCTACGTCATCCGCACACACGCCCAGGGCCGAGCACGAGCTCCTGTTCGTGTATCGCTGCATGTGGTGAATAAAGGGATTTATGATGACGGCCCGCAGCGAGCCTGACGATGGGCAGCCCTGAGCCAGCCCGCAAGTGATGCACGCGAAGTGTACCATCATGCCCGCCTTCTGGACGCACGCCGTGGGCAGCCAGTACAGCGACATGAGAGTGAGGAGCAGCCCCCCCCCCGAAGCCCGAGAAGGCCAGCATCGCGAAGAGCCACTCCACCATCATCGACGGGAACGCGTCACCGAAGTCGCACAGCGCCATCAGGGGCTCGAGGGAGGCCACATCATCCAGGTAGCCCGCGACGCGGGCAGTCGTGTCCAAGAGCGTGATGCTGTCCAGGAAGTTCCGCCCCCGCAGAAATCCACGCTGCGGAGTAGGTGATGCGCATTCCACCGCACCTTTGATGCTGAAATTGGCCGCCGCAGCGACCAGCTTGCAATCTGAATTCTTGAGAGCGATTGCCCGAGTTGACCCTGGAGACCGATAAAGTCCGTCAGCAAGGTCCTCCTCGAAGGACCCCTTGGGGAGGAAGGCCAGCAAGTGATCGTTCCAGTCGGTTGGCGGCGGTAGGCCCGCTGCAATGTCGAGCACCGCATCCTCGATGGACGCCACTGCCGCGGGGCACGACCGCCATGCCAAGTTTGGCAGCCCGTCTGGCCCTGGTGCAGACTCCTTAGCCCTCGCCGCCGCTCGCAGCAGCGAGCGCTTGTCAGGCTGCAAGATGTCCGCCACTGCCAGCTTCGGGGCGTGGTCCTTCATGTAGCGCTCAGCCAGGCTCTCCCACCCGTCGGCCTGCGTCTTGGCCTGGAAGATGGGAGCCCAATGGTCGCGGAGCGCCCCCATCATGTCCTCCTGGCCGTGGAGAACCTGGACGCCGCCACCCTGCGCAGGCACATTGATACCCTGCCGCTTGAGCGAGCGGCCGAAGGGCGCCCACAAGGCCGCCCGACGATTGAGCTTCCTGCGGACGGCATTGACTGCCTTGAGCGAGGTGCTGTCGAGGGCCTTATTCTCCCTCTCATCGAGCGCGGCCGACCGCGCCTCGAAGTGCAACTGCTGCTCTCTGTCACATTGAGGTAAGTGCTAGCGAGCTCACAAGATTGAAGTAGTCGACGTCCGAGTCCCGCGTCATCGCGCCAGACCGCCCTCGACGTCGAACGGAATGCCGTCAGCTTGGTCTCGCCAAGTGGGCGCTGCAGCCGCAAGTTGCGCACGTGCTTGGCGGCCCCGCACATCAGCTCCTTGTGTCTCTTGCGCCTACTCCGCGCCGACAGGCTCGACCAGTCCACCAAGGGTCGGAGGCGATCGTACTGGCGTTTGAACTCGGGGTCCTTGAAGAAATGCAAAGGTATTCTCTGCTCCGTCGCCTCTGCCTCACCACGCACCTCGATGCTCATGATGACAGGCGCATGGTCGCTAAGTCCTCTCTCGTGCAGTAGCTCGGGGTACTCAGGAGTGAGCGCGCAAATGTGATGTTGGAGCACGTGCCAACTTGGCAACGAAACGAAGACCCGATCGATCTGCGTGAGCTTGGGCTGCCACTCGTTGACCACATAGTGCGTCGGCAGTTCATTGTCGATCTCCACCATTCGATTGAAGAGCTCCTTCCAATACGCTTCATGCGGCCTGCGGGCCGTGTCACCAGAGCTCCGCCGACGGTCAATCTCAGGTGCCCGTGGGTACATCGGCAGCTGCTTGTCGATGTTGAAGTCGCCGGGCAAGAACACTGTGACCCGCTCGGGAGCCAGGTCGGCCATGGAGAGGTCCGCCGATAACTTCGCTCGCAGCACCTCCCTCTCACCGTCCGTCAGATTGAAGTTGTGCACATTGTATATGACCGTGCTGCATGTATGAGTCGCAGCCTGGGCAGGGATGCCAGAACTGCGTAGACGCTGCACCCGACCACGCGCGAGAGTCTCGTGCACGAACCGAGCCCTGCGCTCGACCCCAGGATCACAGGGAATGATGAGAGCCACTCCCCCAGCGTCCGTTTGAGGAAGAAAGGAACAGAAGGCGCGGGGCGGAATGTGAAGCCGATGGAGCGCCTGAGGTAGCTCCGCCTTGGTCCCGTGGACCTCCTGAAGCGCCATGACAGTGCCACGGCGTAGGTGTTGTGCCAGATATTGAAGCTTGTGTTCACGAACCCCACCAACCCGTCGGTCGCGATGGAGAAGGGCGCGCGAATTCCACGGCCCATCGCAACCGGTGCAGATGACGCAAACGGTGGTCTCGAGCACGCAAATTGATCGTCAAATAGACCACTGCACTCGCTCAGCCTCGCCGAATAAGCCCTCGAAGGCGTCCTTGACAGAAGACTTGTCCAGGCCAAGATCAGTGACCATACGATAGTTCCATTGAAGGCTAGTCGCCTCGCTCGCTTCGTCGGGAATGATGGCCCTGACCACAGGGAGGGATCCTTGATAAATGACTCCTTGCGCTCTGTTCGCTCGCCAACGACCAGGTAAGCCCTCGCGCTTGATGATCTCGAGGAGCTTCTTCGTCTGGATCTCGCGCGGAACCATCTGCCCATTCTTGTCCAAGCTGATGAACAAAGAAGACCGAGCGTCAGCAGGAGTCGTGGCTTCGAAGCGCCTCCAGGCACCGTTGTCCAGCCTGAGCTCCTTGAAGGCCTGCTGGACGTGGCGCGCGGCGAGGCCCTCAGCACCTGTGAATTGCACAACGTAGCGCCGTCCTGGGCTATCACCTCGAATCTCCCATTGGTCCTCTGAGAAGCCGCTCGCCGCCATCCACTCAAGGACGCTGGCACGGACCTCCTCCTTCGCGACGGGCTCCTGTGTGGTGGCCGTGAAGATGGCATGGTTTGGCTCCCTGGTGAAGCTGGCATTCTCGGCGGCGTCGTATCCAGCAGGCACCGCCTGCTCACATTGATAAACAATCTGCTGGAGCCGCTTGACCTCATCCTGCATCGCCTTGTGTGAGCGCTCCAAGATATCCTGCCGAGAGTCGAGGTCACGCACTCTGAGGCCCATGTCCTCATTGAAAGCTTCCTGTCGAACAGCGAGGGCACGAACAGCTGTGGCCGTCCCCTCATGAATGTTGCGCTCCATCTTGGCTGTAGCTTCGGCAACCGAGCGCGGAGCGTGTTGAGGATGTAATCCAGGTCGCAGCGGCGCACGACACGCTCGTCAAGGACGGCTGGCGTACCAGGAGCAGGCCCAGGAGAGCCAGGAACGTGAATAGGAGCGCCAGCCTCCACCGCCGCGGCCGCCCCGCCACCCCCAGACGAGCCTGCCGCAGGGTTACTCGGCTGGCGCCATGGGTCAGCCTCGATGAGCGAGTCGACACGGCTGGCTTTGCTGCTCGGCTCCTCAGACTGGTCGCCGTTGACGTAGTGCCTGGGCCTCGACGCGGAAGCAGCACTGGCCGAGCCTCGCCCGCCACTCTTCCCGAGGACCTCTTTAGCGCCACCCACGCACCCACCACTGGCACCACTATGCTGAGAAGAGTCCACAGGGCCATCAGGCATCGAAGAGGACGTGCGGAGCGATGGCAAAGGAGTGAGGGATGAAACCTCAGTTGCCCCCGCAGGGGATGTAAGAAGTAGATATGTTGTAAACCGAGACGCCAGAGAACTGGGCTGGAGATTGACCTCAAAGCGGAACCTCCCTCGCGCTCTGGAGACGCTCCGAAAGACTCGCGGTCGTCGGGACGGTTCATGGCCTTGAGCCAAAATGGCTACGAATATATATATATATATATATATATATATATGTGTGTGTGTGTGTGTGAAAATTTGTATGTATATATATATATATATATGTATATGTGTATATGTGTATATGTATATATATATATATATGTATGTATATCGCCCGGGGCCTTAGGGCGCCAAGGGAGCCTCAAAAACGGGGCACAAGCACACCAGGAGGCTCCCAGACGGTCGACGAGGGCCCCCGAGACGTCGACCGATCGGTGCGAGATGCCCGCGCAGGCCTCCAGGCGGCCGCAGATGCCCTCCAAGACGGCCCAGGAGCTTAGCTGCCCCGGTGCGCAACACGCAACACGTATCGTATTGATACGGAGCTCAACACGTAGGCTGAAAACGTAGGTCCAACGCGATACACTCGCCAAAACGTGGTCCACCACGTGTAGCCAACACGCAACGTATTGACACGGAAATCTTGAACACGGGACGTATTGCGTTTCAAGACGGGCGTATCGAGGCAACTAAGCCCAGGAGGCCTCTCCAGAGGGCCACGAGAGGCGAATGCCATCGACTTCCTGAGGTGCTCGAGGGGTGTTGGCCTTCCCGCCATTTCGGGGGCACGGAGGAGGAGGAGGAGGAGGGGGAGGAGGAGGAGGAGGAGAAGGAGGAGATGGAGGAGGAGGAGGAGGAGCAGGAGGAGGAGGAGTAGGAAGCGAGGAGGAGGAGGAGGAGGAGGAGGAGGAGGGGAGGAGGGGGAGGAGAGGAGGAGGAGGAGGAGGAGGAGGAGGAGGAGAAGCGAGGAGGAGGAGGAGGAGGGAGGAGGAGCGAGGAGGAGGAGCGAGGAGCGAGAGGGGGAGCGAGGGAGGAGGAAGGAGGAGGAGGAGGAGGAGGAGGAGGAGCGAGGAGCGAGGAGCGAGGAGCGAGGAGGAGGAGGAGCGAGGAGGAGGAGGAGGACGAGGAGAGGAGGATGAGGAGGAGGAGGAGCGAGGAGCGAGGAGGAGGGGAGGAGCGAGGGAGCGAAGGAGGAGGGGAGGAGGAGGAGGAGGAGGAGGAGGGAGGAGGAGGAGGAGGAGCGAGGAGGACGGCGCCACGGCCGGCCAAGGACGGCGCAGGAGGCCTCCGAGAGGGCGCCCTCGCGGCGGACAGAAAAGCTTCCAGGCGGCCCAGGGGGCCTCCAAGACGGCCCAGGCGCTCCCAAGACGGCTACTCCTCCTCCTCCTCGTCCCTCCTCCTCCTCGTCCTCCTCGTCCTCCTCCTCCTCCTCTCCTCCTCCTCCTCCTCGCTCTCGCTCCTCGCTCCTCGCTCCTCCCTCCTCCTCCTCCTCCTCCTTCCTTCTCCTCCTCTCCTCCTCCTCCCCCGCCCCAAGAGGGGGCCCACACGGGGGACCCGACGGGACATCTCGAGCGCTCGGCCCCCAGCAGTCCCCCCCAGGAGCCCCCCCCAGAGGCGCTCAAGAGGCCCCGAAAGTGCCCCCCAGAGCCCCCCCCCCCGAGTGCTTTGAAAAGATTATCAAAATAATACTTGTGTTTCAAAAACCTTGAGACAACGTGCATTTTTCGCAAGTGGGCTCAAAGAGGGGGCCCACACAGGGGGACCCGAAGTGACAATTCGACCACGTGGCCCCCAGAAACACCTAGGAGGCCCCAAGAGGCCCCCAAGAGGCCCTCAGGAAGCCCCAAGAGTCCTCCGAGAGGCTCCGCAGAAGCCGACAAGAGTCTTCCAAAATGCAACGCAGAAGCTCCCGCGAGCGCTCCGAAGAAGACATTCCCAAAAGCAGGCGTCATTCACAATCCCGAGGGAGAACAAATATCTTGTAACAAGTTCATTTTTGGGGTCGTCACCATGTCCACCACCACCCAAGTGTCCCCTCATATCGCCTCACGACAGCCGGAACCCCAAGGGATGCCGACGACCGCCCCAGAGGGCTCCAAGACAGCCGAGGAGCCCCTCCCCAGCAGAAGGAAACCTATCTCAAAAGCGTTTCGCCCACGACCCAAGCACGGTGGCGGGATGGGCCGCAGACCACTAGGATCCGCCGCCCCCTTTTGATTTATCAAAGGGGTGCCTGGCGTGTTAAATCCAATCGGTTTTGGTTTTGGTTCTTTTTCCAAAAGAACTCCCCCTGGGGCTTCGGCCCGTCCCGCTGGCCGCCCGGAAGACCCGGTTGCCATCGCCAAAAACGGCCGTTTCGCTCGGACATCCTCAACAAATCGCGAAGATGGCCCAAGATGGCCTCCAAGATGCCTCCAAGATGCCTCCAAGACAACCAAGATGGCCTCCAAGACGGCTAAGATGGCCCAAGATGTATCCAAGACAGCCCAAGATGGCCCCAATTATGGTCTGAGACGGCCCCCGCAAGAGGCCTCCAAGAGTTCCTCCAGGAAGGCCCCACGAGGCCCAAATCCTGGATTTTCCTTAGGTTTTTGACGGATTTGGGTATTTGCGCCTTTTCGGCTTTCCGACGGCCCGTGACGGCCCCAGAGGCCGCCAAGGTCGCCCCAAGATCGCCTACGAGGCCTCCAAGATGGCCCCATGACGGCCCAAGAGGCCCCCAAGACGGCCCCAAGAGGGCGCCAAGCCTCTAAGACGGCCCTGGAGCACCCCAAGAGGGCCCCAAGTCGGCCCAGAAAGGCACCCGAAACGGCTTCCGACGGCATCAGACGAGCCAGGAGCCCACCAAGATGGCCGAAGGTGGCTCCCAGCTGGCCCAAGACAGCCCAAGAGGCCTCCAAGAGGGCCTCCAGGAAGGCCAGAAAAGGCCAGAAAGAGTGATTTGTCCAGAGGTGTTTAAGGATTTTGACATTTGCTTCGTTTCGGCCTTCCGACGGCCCGATACGGCCCAAGAGCTCCCAAAGATCGCCCAAGGATCGCCCAATAGGCCTGCAAGATGGCCCCAGAACGGCCCAAGAGGCGCCCAAGACGGCCCATGAGTCCCCCAAGATGGCCCAAGAGGCCTCCAAGACGCTCAAGATGGCCTCCAAGACGGCCCACGAGCTCTCCAGGACGTCCTCCAAGAAGGCCCGAAAGAGTCAAAATGGCCTCCAGGCGGCCAAGATGACCTTCAAGATGCCCACGTGCTCCCCGAAGGCTTTCCAAACCGATTCGGGGAACACATGGTCCGATAGCTTGGCAGGTCTGGCCTCGACGTTCGGCCACATAGGCGCTTCCACAAAGGCAGGGGGCGGCGGTGATTCGCCGTAAGCGTCTTCGATCCGCCGCCCCCTTTTTATCAAAGGAAAGGGGTGCCCGGCGTACTGAACTATACGGCTTTTGGTTTTGGTTCTTTTTCCAAAAAGACTCCCCCTGGGGCTTCGGCCCGTCCCGCCGGGGTCCCGGGATATTCCCGAAAATCCATCCGTCAATGCCTTTGTTGCCCCAAGTTGGCCCAAGATGGCCTCCAAGACGGCCAAGACGGCCCAGGATGGCCGCCAAGATGCCTCCAAGACAGCCAAGATGGCCTCCAAGACGGCTAAGACGGCTCCAAGATGCACCCAAGACGGCCCAAGCCAAGATTTCCTCCAAGACGCCCAAGATGGCCTCCAAGACGGCCCCGAAGCGACCCGAGAGGGCCCCAAGTCGGCCCAGAAAGGCCCCCCACAACAGCTCCCGACGGCGTCAGACGTGCCAGGAACCCACCAAGATGGCCGAAGTGGGCTCGAAGCTGGCCCAAGACGGCCCAAGAGGCCCCCAAGAGGGCCTCCAGGAAGACCAGAAGAGGCCACAAACATTGATTGTCCTAAGGTTTTTTTGACGGATCTTGGCATTTGCTTCTTTTCGGCCTTCCGACGGCCCGAGACGGCCCAAGAGCCCCCAAAGATCGCCGAAAGATCGCCCAAGAGGCCTCCAAGATGGCCCCGGAACGGCCTAAGAGGGCCCTAAAACGGCCCCAAGAGTCCCCCAAGACGGCCCAAGAGGCCTCCAAGACGCCCAAGATGGCCTCCAAGACGGCCCTGGAGCATTCCAAGAGGGCCCCAAGTCGGCCCATAGAGCCCCCCCAAACGGCTTCCGACGGCGTCAGACGGACCAGGAGCCCACCAAGACGGCCGAACATGGTCCTAAGATGGCCCAAGACGGCCCAAGAGGCCTCCAAGAGGGCCTCCAAGAAGGCCCGAAAACGCCCAAATCATTGATTTCCCATGAGTTTTTGAAGGATTGTGGCATTTGCTTGTTTTCTGGCGGGGGTGATTCGCCGTAGGCGTCTTCGTTCCGCCGCCCCCTCTTGATTCATCACAGGGGTGCCTTGCGTGCTAAATCCTTTCGCTTTTGGTTTTGGTGCCCTTCCCCAAAGAACTCTCCCTGGGGCTTCGGCCCGTCCCGCCGGCCACCGGAAAGGGACCCCAACGACCGCAAAAAGTCCTCCAAGACGGCTCCAGATAGCCTCCAAGATGACCACGTTGGCCCAAGATGGCCTCCAAGATGGCCCAAGATGGCCTCCAAGTCCGCCAAAGATGGTCCAGGATGGCCTCCAAGACGGCCCGGGAGAGTCCACGATGCCTTCAAGTTCGTCCAAGAAGCCTTCAAGACTGCCCAAGATGGCTCCAAGATTGCCTAAGACTGGCCAAGAGGCCCCCAAGAGGCCTCCAAGAGGTCCTCCAGGAAGGCCCGCAAGGGCAAAAATCATTGATTGTCCATCGGTTTTTGAAGGATTCGGGCATTTTCTTCTTATCAGCTCTCCGACGGCCCAAGACGGCCCAAGAGGCCCCCAACATCGTCCCAAGAGTGCCCAAGAGGCCTCCAAGATGGCCCCATGACAGCCCAAGAGGCTCCCACGAGGGAGCCAAGAAAAGCCCAAGATGGCCCCGAAGACGCCGAAGATGGCCTCCACGATGCCTCCAAGACGGTCAATCAAGAAGGCCTCCAAGACAGCGAAGATGGCCCCAAGATGCCCCCAAGACGGCCCCAGATGGCCTCAAGATGGCCTTAGACTGTCCAAAAAGGCCCGCAAGAGGCCTCCAAGACGGCCCAAGAGCCCTCCAAGACGTCCTCCAGGAAACCCGAAAGCTCGGAAACCATCTGGTCCGATAGCTCGCCCGACCCCGTGTTCCCTGAAAGTTTTCGAAACCCACTCGGGGAACGCGTGGCCCGATAGCTTGGCCAAGCTCAAACCCAACTTTCGGCCACGCAAGCGCTTCCAAAAAGGCAGGGGGCGGCGGTGATTCGCCGTAGGCGTCTTCGTTCCGCCGCCCCCTGTGGTCTTGCCACAGGGGTGCCCGGCGTGCTAGACGCTAAGCGGTTTTCGTTTTGGTTCTTCCAAAAGAACTTTCCCCCGGGGCTTCGGCCTGTCCCGCCGGCCACCCAGAAGGCCGCACAATCGAGCGCAAACAAGCGCAAACGAGCACAACGTCCGCAAACAACTCTCCAAAACGGCTTAAGATAGCCTCCAAGACGGCCATGAAGGCCTCCAAGTTCGGCCAATATGGTCCAAGATGGCCTCCAAGACGGATCAAGATAGTCCAAGATGCCTCCAAGTTCGTCCAAGAAGCCTCCGTGAAGGCTGAAGAAGGCCCAACATTGCATCAAGATGGCCCAAGAGGCCGCCAAAGCGCACCAAGAGAGCCCCAAGAGGCCCCCCAAGAGAGCCCCAAGAGGCCAAATGCATTAATTTCCTTATGGTTTTGAATGATTTTGAGGCTTGCTCCTTTTCGGACGGCCCAAGACGGCCCAAGAGGCCATCACGATCGCCCCAAGAGCGCACATGAAGCCTCCAAGATTGCCCCTGGACGGCCCAAGAGAGGCCCCAACACGGCACCAAGAGGGCCCCAAGACGGCCCAAGAGGACCCAAAGGCGCCCAAGATGGCCTCCACGACGGCCAAGATGGCCCCTAGAGAACCCACGATTGCCCCAAGATGCCTCCAAGACAGCCCAAGATGCACCCAAGACGGCCCAAGATTGCCTCAAGATGACCAAGCCGGCCGAAGACGCTCCCAAGAGGCCTCCAAGACGGCCCAAGAGGCCTCCAAGAGGACATCCAGGAAGACCTTAAGAGGCAAACTTCATTGATTGTCCTTAGGTTTTTGAAGGATGTTGGGGTTTGCTCGGTTTCGGCCCTCCGACGGCCCAAGACGGTCCAAGAGGCCATCAAGATCGCACAAAAGGGTCTCCAAGATGGCCCCAGGACAGCCCAAGAGGCCCCCAACACGGCACCAAAAGGGCTCAAAGACTGCCCCAGATGGCCGCCAAGACGGCCAAGATGGTCCAAAATTGCCTGCAAGATGCCTCCAAGACGGCCGAAATGGCCCCAAGAGAACCCAATATCCCCCCACGATGCCTCCAAAACGGCTCAAGATACACCCAAAAAGGCTCAACATGGTTTCAATATTCCCCAAGACTGCCCAAGACGCCCCCTAGAGGCCTCCAAGAGGCCTCCGAACCACGAGCGCCCAAGAGGCCTCCAAGATGGCCCCATGATGGCCCAAGAGAGGCCTCCAAGACGGCCCCATGAGGGCCCCAAGACGGTCCAAGAGGCCTCCAAGACGCCAAAGATGGCCTCCAATACGGCCCTGAAGTGCCCCAAGACGGGCCCAAGTCGGTTCAGCGAGGCCCCCAAGACGGCTTCCGACGGCGTCAGACAGGCCAGGAAAGCCATCAGACGGCCAAAGAGGCCTTCAAGAAGCCCCCACAGGCGCACGAAAGGCCCAAACAGGCTTCCAAAAGGCCTCCAAGAGGCCCCCCAGAAGCTCCCAGGAGACCCCAACAGTGCCCCAAGAGGCTTCCAAGAGGCCTCCTCCTCCTCTTCCTTGTTCCTCCCTCTCCTCCACTTCATCTTTCTCTCCCCACGTGTTCCGAAGCCTGTCCAGACCGACTCGGGGAACACATGGTCCGATGGCTTGGCCAAGCTCCAGCCCAACTTTCGGCCACATAGGCGCTTCCAGAAAGGCAGGGGGCGGCGGTGATTCGCCGTAGGCGTCTTCGATCCGCCGCCCCCTGTTGGCTTGCCACAGGGTTGCCGGGCGTGCTAGACGTCTGACAGGTTGGTTTTCATTAGTTTCCCAAGGAACTCCCCCTGGGGCTTCGGCCCAGCGCGCTGGATGCCTGCCTCGTCGGCTCTTTCGCTCAAGATGGCCTCCTTAAGCCAAGCCCCAAGACGGCCAAGACGGCCCAACGAGAACCTAAGATTGCCCCTCCCAAGATGCCTCCAAGATCGCCAGGATGGTCCAAGAGAGCCCAACACAGCCCAAGAAGCGCCCAAGAGGCCCCCAAGAGGGCCTCCAGGAAGCCGAAGAGGCCAAAATCATTGATTCGCCTTAGGTTTTCGATAGATTTTGGCTTTCGTTTCTTTTCGGCCTTCCAACGGCCCAAACGCCCTCCAAGGTCGCCCCAAGATGGCCCAAGAGGCCTCCAAGATGGCCACATGATGGCCCAAGAAACCCCCAGACGGCCCCAAGAGGGCCGCAAGACGGCCAAAGAGGCTGCCAACACGGCTTCGGATGGCGTCAGACGGGCCAGGAACGCCCTAAGACTAGCAAAGGGGCCCCCGAGAAGCCCCTAAAGGCCCCCAAGAGGCCCAAGGAGGCCCCCAAGATGCCTCCAAGAGGCTCCCAGGAAGCTCCCAGGGGGCCCACCGACAATCAATCAATCAATCACGGCCGATAACTGTCGGCTACCAGCCAACCGACCAATCAATCAAACAACCGACCAACCAATCAGCCGACTGGCGAACCGACAAGCCAACTGGCCAGCCCACTAGCCAACCAACCAACTCACCAACCAACCAGCCAGACAACCAGCAAGCAAAACAACCAGCCGGCCCCTCGCACTTGTGAACACGACAACGTCGGGCGGGGCCCAGACTTCCTCTTGACCTCTTGACTGGGTAGCAACGTCATGAACCCTCACCTTTTACAGCACAAGCTGTCTCTGAGCTCCTACGCCTTCCCCTCGTCCTCGGATGCGCGAGTGCGCGCGGCCGAGTGGAAGCAACGAAGCGGTCGTGGACGGGCGCGCGCGCGCGTTGTCTCCTTGTAGGAATCCTTTTTGGCCGCGTCGGACTCGGCCGTGAGGATGTTCCTGGCAAGCTCCTTCGGGAGCCATGCAACTACAGCCGAGGTCCTCGTCCTCCCTTTCCCACCCTTCGGAAAGCTCTTGGAATTTCCAGGTGCCGCCGAGAATTTCTGCACACCGACGGACAAAAACCCTCCGAAGAGCGTCGAATACTCTCCGAAGATTGCAGAAACCGTGCAGGCAACTAAGGAACAGGACAGGACCCATTAAACCGTGCATAGAAATCACTCCACCCCCTCCTCCTCACTAGATCCAGTCCCCTGGGGCAGCGTCCCGATCGACAATGCAAAGGGCGAAACGTCCCCTGGGGACTCGGATATTCTCCCGACGTGCCAATAAGTGGCGGCGCGCGCAAGCGGGGTAGGGGGGAGATGGGAAGGCTTGCGAGGAGGAGGAGGAGGCCGCTTCTTAGAAGGCGCGGGCCTTTCCTCTGCAGACAGGGCCCGCACCCTCTTGGAAGCCAGGGGTGCTCCTCAGAGCCGGCTCCTCGGGGAATTCCGGGAGCCACCGCCAAGGCGCTCTCCATCGCTGGCGCGCCGAGGGGGGCAGAGAGAGGGGATCAGGCCCTCTCAAGAGGCGGCGGGACTCCTCCGCGAAGCACTCGACCTTCTGGGAGGCCCCGTGCGGCTTCGGAGCAGGACCGGGGAGCTGCTCAAGAGGCCAGGGGCCTTCCAACCCTCTCTGAGAGAGCCCGCCCTCTCTCGGGTCGGGCGAAAGCGGGGGTTAGAAAAGGGGGGGGTTGAGAATCAGCTCGCGTAGCTGATTTTCCCGGCGCCTCCCGGCGCCGGAGGCGGCTATGTATCGAGGAATGGGCCCCTCGGTGGGGCCGAAACCAGCTGCATGCAGCAGATTTCGTAACCCCCTCTTTCCCAATCCCCCCCTTTCGCCCGGCCCAGAAGAGGCCAGGGGCCTTCCAGCCCTCTCTGAGAGATCCCGCCCTCTCGCGGGCACGGACGCGGACGAGGGACACGTGGATCTGGCGCGTGGGCGCCCGGTCCAAGGATCAGGGAAAGGGCCCCGCGACACATGGCGCCAGTGCCGCACATGACCTCGCAACGGAGCGCGCCGATCCTCCTCCTCCTCCTCTCCCTCCTCCTCCTCCTCCTCCTGGTCCCTTGAGGTCCGGCGTTTCAGACATTTTTTTTGTTTTATCATTTTTGTAACAATTTTGAGGGATAGCGTATGTTACCTGGGAAAGGGGCGTGGGGGGGGATAACGGTAACTGGGGCCGCGGCGCGCACCCCCTGAGGCGCGCCACCTCCGTCTTCGTCTTCGTTGTCGTCGTCGTCGCCGCCCAAGCCCACATCGCCTGTGCACACAGCACGGGCTCTGTACAATGCCGTTGTACACCAGGGCTGCTACAGAAATCGCATGTGTGTGCACCTCGGCGATTGTGTATACCATAACAACCGCGTGCACCACGACGCCTTTGTACATCGCGCGATCTGCGTACGCCACTGCGCCTGCGTGCACCACAGCCGCTGTATCAGCACACTCTATGCACCACATCGCCTGCGCACACCGCAAAGTTCGTGTACGCCTGAAGGCAATACCGACGGGGCCAAGCTCCGGCAAATCATCGGGGGCCCGAACGTAGCAAATTCTAGATGTAACTTATTTGTGATAATTGATTTTTCTAGCCCGGGGTACGGTGCCCCCCGCTTTTGGCCGACCATGTTTGTGTACACCAAAGACCTAATCTAGCGTGCGCCACAGCGCCTGTCCTGCGCGCGCCACGACGCCTTGTATACAACAGCTGCTTGTGTACACCGCATTGCCTGTCTAGACAACAGTGCCTTTGTACACCGCAATGACACCCGTGTGCACCACAGCGCCTGTGTACACAGCGCCTTTCTACACAACAACGCCTGTGTACACCACAATGCCTTTGTACACCACAACACCTGTGCACCACGGCTGCTGCTTCAGCACCATACTCGAGCACCACAGCTCTGGTGCACCGAAGTGCTTGTGTGCACCACAGAACTCCGTAAAATTCCAAGGTCCCCGGCAGGACCGAACTCCAGCAACTCGTGGGGAATCCGAACGTATCAAATCCAAAATGTAAGCTATTGTGGTGATTGACTTTTCTTGCGCAGGGAACGGTCCCGTCTTTTGGGCCCACAACGCCTGTGTACACCATAGCGAATGTGTGCACAGCCGCGGATGTGTATACCGCAGCGCCTGTGTACAACACAAGGTGTGGCACACCGCAATGACAATGCACCACAGTGCTCCTGCACACCACATTGCCTGGGATGCCTGCGCGCATAATAACTGACGTTGCAGCAACATTGCACACACCACAAAGCCTGTCTTTACCATATTGCCTGGGTGCATCACGATGCCCCCCTGCACCGCGCGACCTACGTGCACCTATGCTTGCGTGCACCACAACGCCTGCATACACAACAGATCTTGCTGCAACAGCAGCAACTGCGCGCACCAAATCGCCTCGTTGCGTGTGCACAACGCAATGCTTGTGTACGCGCTGCTCACGTGCACGTCCATATGCCTATGGGCGACGTCGGTCGTCGTCGGTTGTCGGTGTCGTCGTCGTTCGTCGCCGTCTATCGTCATCTATGGTCGTCGGTCGTCGTCTGTCGTCTGTCGTCGTCGTCTCCCCATGCTACTCCAAACCCCAACGCTTCGCCAACGTGCATCCAAACACCAACATGCTGTGGCGAACACCACCGCGCCGTTGAACACAGCGTTGCATGTAAGCTCCCTGCGCCCACCCCCGGACCCGCACGACCCGCTAGGTTAGGTTATTCTGGGGCGGGAGGGGGGGGCCAAGCCCGATAACAAGGGTTATCGCCGGACCCTGAAGAAAACAGTCTCCTGCGTGCACCATAGTGCACTCCCGCGTGCACAACAAGCCCCTAAACTGCCCGGGATCGCACGTTGGATCGGGGCCGGGGCGTTACCACTAGGGGGGGGGGGGAAAGGAGGGGGGTAGCATGCGTTATCCCTTGGGTGGATAAAACATTGTCTCTTCGGAACACACTGCAGCCTCGCAAAAAAAACACGACCAAAGCCCTGGACCCCATCTCTCTGAGTCATGTTGCGAGCCGGACCGATCTGTCCTGGTCCCAGGGCCCGAAAAATCGGGCGCAACCCTGTGCATCCCCGTATCTTAGGGTCCCCCACTCCTCCCCCTCGGTCCGCCCTCGCCTCTGGCGCGCCGCCGCCCCGCGCGCCGCCGCCTGCCCCATTCGCAGCAGGCGGCGGCGGCGGCTGCAGACGACGACAACGACGACGACAACGACGACGACGCCTTCCCCTTGCCCTTCCCCTCGCCTTCCCCCTCTCCCCGTCCCCTCCCCCTTTCCCCTCGCCCCCCCCCTCCTCCTCCTCCTCCTCTTCCTCCTCCTCCTCCTCCTCCTCCTCCTCCTCTTCCTCCTCTTCCTCCTGCTCCTCGCGGGGCTCGGTCTGTGCGGGAGAGGCTTGTGCAGGAGCTTACACGCCTCAGCTCACCTTTTCGGGAGTGAGTGAGCGCGCTGGCTCCTCCTCCCACCGAGGCTCTCGCCTCCTCTTACATCAGGGGGCACGGAAAAACGGAGAGATATCATGGCCACGGCCATGATATCGATTCCCCTTAGCCATCAATCCTGTCATGCATCGCCGACTAATGCCGCAAACGTTGGGAACACTCACAAACTCCAAGGTATTGAACACTCGAAAAATATGTATTCTAATTTGCGGTCCCAGGGGGCCCTCGCTGGGTCCCAGGGCCGTCAACAATCACTCGACGCGGAGATCCCCAAATGTGCATCTCACTTTCTGGCACGTCCTGCTGTGAATGTCTGGCTGTGAGCGCTTCGGTGTGACAGCGAGCTCGGGTGAACGACGGGCGGGATCACCCAAAGAGAGATGTCGGCTGCGGCGCAACAGGCAAACCGCCTGAGGCATCCCACAATCTGGGCGCGAATGGGGGAAGGCACCACCCCCTGGCGGCTCCCCCTTGGGGTGCCCCGGTGCCACGCCTGCTACATCGCGGTGGGCAGTGGACCACCAACACAGGAGTGTCTGTGGCGCCGAAGCACGAAAATTGCTGAAAGGATCAACACAACCTGGGCGCGAATGGGGGAGTGAAACACCCCCTGGTGGCTACCCCTTGGGGTGCCCATAGAGCATGCCTTCTATATCGCTGTGAGCAATGGGCTACCCCAAAAAAGATGTCGGCGGCGCCGGAGCAAGCAGACCGCTTGTGACATCCCCACCATTCTGGGCGCGAACGGGGGAGTGGCCTACGGCCTACCCCCTGGCGGCTGCCCCCTGAAGCGCCCATATGCTACGCATGCTAAATCACGGTTTGCACAGGACCACCAGAAAAAATGTCGGCGGAGCCCAAACAAGCAAACCGCCTGATACATCCCCACGATCTGACCGGACATGATGGAGCGTTCTACCCCCGAGCGGCTCCCCCTTGGGGTACCAAGCCTGCTATATCGCTGTGACCAGTGGGCCACCCAGATAAAGATGTCGGCAGCGTCGAAACGAGCAAACCGCTCGAGCCATCTCCACAATCTGGACGCGAAGGGGAGTGTCCTTCACTCTGGCGGCTCCCCCTTGGGGTGCCCAAGCGCCACGCCTGCTGCATCGCGGTGGGCACTGGACCACCACAAGAAAATATCGGCAGCGCCGAAGCACGCAAACTGCTCGATACACCCCCACGATCTGACCGCACATGGAGTGTCCTACCCCCGAGCGGCTCCCCCTTGGGGTCCCCATATACCACGCCTGCTTTATCGCTGTGAGCAGTGGACCGCCAGAAGAAAGATGTCGGCGGCGCTGAAAGAAGCAAGCCACCAAAGACCTCCTCACAATCTGGGCGCACACGGGGGAGTGTCCTCGCCCCTGGCGGCTCCCCTCTGGGGTGCCCAAGCCCGACGACTGCTATATTGCGGTTAGCATTGAATTGCCAACAGGCAGGAGTGCGAGGATTTGAGTGTGAGTGAATCTTAGTGCGAGTCAGTCTATGTAAAAATAGTTCTGAGTCTGGGTGAACGTAAATGGTAGTGAACCTTTGCATGAGTAGGGATGAGTTGGAGCAAGTCTGAGTAGGAGTACATCTGACTGTGATTGAATCTGATGTTGAATAGGTATGAGTACGAATGAGTCTGAAGGTGCGTGCATATTCGTGTGAATGAGTCTGGATATGAATGAACTGTGTGGGAGCAACAACAGGCGGGTGAGAGTGAGGCGGATGCGCCCCAGTAGTAGCAATAATCCAATCTTAGAATCAGGGGAAGCATTGGGGATGCACCGCAGGTCCGTGGGCAAGGTTCGGGACTTCTGAGGACACTCTCCCCCTTCGGGTAAGAAGACGACCGCTGCTCTTAGTGTTCATCCCCTCCCCGTCCTGTTATGCGGCAAAGCCCAAACCATGACGACACCCCACCCACCATCCCTTAATAAACACTACAAGGTGCACTTTGCGGCAATATCTGGATCATGCATGGGCACTAGAAGGTCACGTTGCACTGTGTAATGGCAGGCTCGAGGGGGGTGACAGCACATTGCCTGTTGCGCGCAAGTCCATCTTCCCTATGAGAATCGCGAGAAATAGGCTTTGCGGCAAAATTGCGATCATGAGCAGGCGCCCCTATTCGGAAAGGGTGATGGGTGCCCTCGCGGCGCACCTCGCGGGCGTCGCGCACCTGGCTGGCGTCTGCATTGGTTCCCGATGTTTGTCGATGGCGGCCCCTGCCCTCGGGTGCTACTCTTGTGGTGGGAGGGCGGGTGGAAGTGAGCGAGACGGCCGTTTTTCGGAGAGGGTAGCTTGACTTCTGCCCCTCCACCCTCCCTCTTGGTCGGGGGGGGGCGCGAGCAGTGAGGGCGTGCAAGATGGCCTCAGCGAGAAAGCGAGATTCATTGCGTTTCCTTCGATGGTGGGCCATGCTGGCCTTCGGCGAAGCTGATGTCCGCCGCACCCTTTTGTCTCGCTGGCCTCCAAGATGGCCCCAAGACGGCCGGAGAGTAAACAAAAACAAGCAAGCCCCATGAGGCACCCAAAAAGCCCCGAAGAGCCCCCAAGAGGCCCTGAGAGACCTCCAAGAGGAACCCAAGACGCTCCAAGAAGCCACCCAAGAGCCAGCAAGAGGCCCCCAAAACACGCCAAGAAGTCTCTAGCAGTCCTCCGAAAGACACCCCAAGAGACACAAGGAGGACTCCACGGGGCCTCTGGCCCATTGCGGCTCTCCGAGGCACCCTGATAATGTGAAGCTCCCCCGATAGGGACAACTTCCCTGGGAATCGTTCCTGGACGGGCTGGGGGTGAAACGCGAAGCGCCAGGAGCGTAACCGTAGCTCATGCGGGGGAGGGTCCTCACTCCTATCCGCGTCTGCGGGGGTCTGGGCACTGCATTTTGCAGCTTGCAGCGTTATGGAATCGCATGCGAATGTCTGATCACCGGCGCGGATTCTCAAGCACATCTGGTCCCCACTATTTTGTCCTTGCGTTACACGGGGCCATCATCGTGCAATTCCATTATATTGCACCTTTCCCACGGACGCTCGCCGCAATGTCAAGATATATTCCTGTTGACTTCAAGGGGCGGGGCGAGTTCAGAACAGAAGGGTTTCTTGCAGCACAATCGGCGCAAGCTGGGTCGACTCTTGCTCCCTTCCCCCCCCCTCACCTGCCCGTCTCTCCTCCTCCATCCGTTCCTCCTCCATCCGTTCCTCCTCCTCCTCCTCCTCCTCCTCCTCCTGCTCCCCCCCTCCTCATCCTCCATCTCCTCCTCCTCCTCCTGCACCTCCTCCTCCTCCTCCTCCTCCTCCTGCTCCCCCCCCTTTCATCCTCCTCCTCCTCCTCCTCGTCCTCCTCCTCCTCCTCCTGCTCCCCCCCTCCTGGCCCTAGACGCCCGCGGACATGGCGATCCCAGCGGCTCTGCAGGGGCTTCACGGTCTTCCGCTGGAGCGGGCCCGAGGGTTGGCTCGGGCAGAGAGGCGGATGCCGCCACGACGCGCGGGCCACTTCCGCCTCCCGCTCCCCTCCTCACACCTCCCCTCCTCCTGCACCTCCTCCTGCACTCCTCCTGCACCTCCTCCCCCTCCTCCCCCTCCTCCCCCTCCTCCCTTCCTCCCCCTCCTCCCCCTCCTCCTCCTCCTCCTCCTCCTCCTCCTCCTCCTCCTCCTCCTCCTCCTCCTACTCCTCCTCCTCCTCCGCCCCCCACTCATCCTCCTCCTCACGCCTCCCCTCCTCCTGCACCTCCTCCCCCAGGTCCTTCTCCTGACGTTCGCCTTTTGCCACGGCGACACGATCGGTCGCTGCAGCAGCGCGTGATTTTTCTCTCTCTCTCTCTCTCTGTGTGTGTCCAAGCCCGAGAGGTGGTCCCTGAAGGGCTGCGCCCGTGGCCCCGGCGGCCCGCACGAGCTGCTGTTCATGGCCCGCAAGCTCGTGATCCTCGTCCTCTTCACTGCCCCCCTCCTTCCCTCGCCTGCGCCGTCCGTGGTCGATCGTGGCTCCCGTCCCCACGAGGCGCAGTCGGGAAACTTGGTCGTGGCCCTATGGCTCGCAGTTCCAGCATCTCGTGATCCTCCTCTTCCTCCCCCCCCCGCTCCGTCGCGCCCCCTCCCCCCCACCCCCATCCGTCGTGCCGCCCCCTGTCCCCAGACCCCCGACGTCATGACTTGTTCCACACGGTCGACCCCCAGACGTCTCGACCCATCCCCCGGGACCGATGTTTCCGTCCGAATCGTTTCTTGACGGCCCCGAGGGCCGGCAGGACCCCTCAGAGGCCGAGCACAGCGAAAAGCCTTCCGCGAGAGGCGCCGCGGTCGACCCCGCCGTGGCCGCCGCCGCCACCCCGGGCCCCCCGCCGCTCCTCGGTGTAGTGCTCGGCCTTCGCCAGGTGCCCCTCCTTGACGAGCATGGTGGGGATGTGCCTTGCGCGGGGGCGCCCGCGGGACGCGGGCCCTGGGTGGGGTTGTGTGGGAGGGAAACGAGGGTCAGGTCGGGCAGGTCCTCCTACAGGCAAATCTTGGAAAACAACAAGTACACAGTGAACCATCAGAAACAAAAGCGCACGAAACATCATCGCCAGACTATGCTTCCCTATTGTTGATGATTCCCCCTGTGGAGGGACATGCCCGACTTAAAACGAGTGTCATCAAGCGGTGCGCGCATTGTCCGACCAAGGGTCGCCGCGAGTGCCTGCAAATGACTGAGCGCGGGCTCTGGACAAAGAGTCTCTCGCCAAAGGGGCCAGGGGCCTGGATCCTTGACTGATGCCATCGCTTTGCAGACTTCCCATCTCAATTCCCTCCCTTCTTCCTCGCTCGGCGCCTTTTTGGCCTCCACCTCCCTCCCAGTCCTCCTCCTCCTCCTCCTCCTCCTCCTCCTCCTCCTCCTCCTCCCTCCCCCCTCCCCTCCCCCTCCTCCTCCCCTTCTTTCTCCTCCTCCTCCTCCTCCTCCTCCTCCTCCTCCTCCTCCTCCCTCGATGCCCTCTGGGCCCCCTTCGCGGGGGGAAGCGATGACCTGGAATCGGCGAAACATCGCCGATGGATCTGCGATCGGCACAGGTTAGCGCATCCGCACGTTCCTTGGCGCGGTGAGCTATCGGGCCCCTATCGGCGATCAACGGGTGATTCGGTGTCGATGCGTTCCCCCTTTAGGCTTATTCCCTCGGGACAAAAAGGGACGGGGACAAATTGGGGACCTCTGCGATCCAGCGGTGTTGGAAAATGTGCCCGATGCCGCGGCTGTTCCGCAGCGTTCCGGAACGGTGTGGCACGATTTCTCCCGGTCCTATAGCCCCACCCGAGGGGGGCCGAGATCGCGTAGATGACGCCCAGACCGGCGCTATCACGACGTCCGAGGGCTGGGCCCTGGGGGAGGGGAAACGGAGCCGACTCAAGCGCCTTCGCTCGTGAGGAGGAGGGAGGGCGCCGAGGAATGTTTGAGGACGCGGAGGAACGAGGAGGCCCAAAGGGCGTCGAGCGAGGACGGAAGGACGGAGGGAATGGGAACGGGCACTCCGCGTAGCGATGGTATCAATCCACCCAGCCCTCCAGGCGGATGTGGTTCAGCGAGCTTGTCCCTTCCCCCGCCCAAGCCCGCTCCTTCCCCTGTCGGGGGGAGGAGCTTGCTTCTGATCCTTGCTCTCTCACACACACACACACCCCTCCCCCGCCCGACCAGCGACAAACGAGAAACGATGCACAACACCCCCTCACCATCGCTGCCAGTGAACCCGTGCCGAAAAGCGCACCCCGCAGCACAAAAAGCGCTGGACCATGCCCGCGGCGAAGCCCGCGGGCGTCCCGCGCTCTGCGCGGCGCGAGGGGGCACGGGGCAGCAGGCTGCCCCGCTGCGCGGCGCACGCGCAGCACCTGTCAGCCTGGGACAGATCCCTATCCCTAAAGCTGGGCCTCGCCTCATCACAATGCCGATCTTAGGGGCTCCCCTGGTTTGATCAGGGCGCATCCCTGAGATCGGCATCGCCTTTTGGCGTGTCAGTTTCAGGGACGGGGATCAGTTCGAGGCTGGTGCAAGACGTTGGGCCATGCGAGGGCAGGAGAGCCCAGAGTCGAATCGATAAGCCGCATCGGTAATCGAGATGGATCGGGTCGGCGGAAGCCGGCCAGCCGAGTCGGGAAGAGACGAGTCGGCGGACATCGGCGGACCAGTGAGGCCTCCACTGGGACACCAGAGCCCAGATCGGAGTCCGAAGTCGAATCGGATCGAAATCGGCCTCCATCGAAATCGAATCCAATCGAAACGAGCCCTGGAGGGTGCCCCGCGATCATTCGGCATGGCCACTGGGAAGGACGAGGGGGGTGCCCTGCCACGCGCGGCGCAGCCCGCGGGCGTCGCGCACCTGGCAATAGCGTTTCGCAGTGGTCCCCGATGGTGGTCGGTGTGTCGGGCGGGCGGGCCGAAGTCACCGAGCTCAGCTGCCCCGATACGCAACGCGTGCCGTACCGACACGGGACTCAACACGCAGGCTGAAAACGTAGGTCCGACGCGATACCTTCGCCAAAGCGTGGTCCAGTACGCGGAGCCAACACGCAACGTGTTGACACGGGCGTCTTGAACACGGGACGTGTTGCGTTTCAAAACGCGCGTATCGAGGCAACTAAGTAACCGAGAGTTGGGTATGTCGACCCCTCCCCCCCACCCCCTTCCCTGGGCCTGGACGGGGGGTGGGTGGGCGCGACGGGCTAGAGCGCCCAAGACGGCCCAATCTGGATACAAGATGGCCCCGGGTGCTACAAGACTGCCTCCACGATGACTGAAGCTGGCCCAAGGTAGCCCAGCATGGTTGCCGTGTTGGAACATCCTGTTGCTCAGACATCTGAGAACCACCATGGTTGTTTGCCTGCTCGTCTTTTCGCTTCGGATTGGCGTGAAGCCTCAAGATTGCGCCAATATTGCCAAAGAAGGGCCCAAGAAGGTCCCAACTCAGCCCACAGATGGCCCTAGGTAGAGGCTCAAAAGAGCGCCCCAAGAAGACTCCAAGAGGTGAGCTGTCCGTTCCCGAGGGGGGCCCGAATGAGCTCCCCTCCCCGCCCTGTTTTGAGCCATGAGGCCCAAGATCATCTCAGAAGGCCTCAGGACCGCCTAATAAAGCCCCAAGAGGGACCAAATGCTTACAACATGACCACACTATGGCTCCAAGAGGCCTCCCGAGATGTCTAAATTCACCAATGTTGACATCCCAGCTTCATCAAATGCTCACCTAGGCCCCCATTCCAGACAACTCTCACGGGCACCGTTTCCAGATGGACTGGTGAGGATACTTTTTTTTACAGCCGCGGGCGGGAGCGCCAGCGGCGGCGAGTAACGGTCGGGCTGCGGCCGAAACTAATTGGCAGGACGCGCGCGCGGTCCGCGGCCGACTGGTGAGGATACGCGAAGCGTCAAGAATCTTAGCGAGCGTGGACCCGAAGCAATGTGTTCTAGCATACAACGTTGTTCAATCTATATTGTGCAACCCATGTGATACAATCTAGGTGGCGCAATCCACTTTGACTGTCTTGAAGCTGTCCTCTCCACTGCTCGTGCAAACATCCCACCCACCCACCCGCAACTTGGTTTGCAAAACCTGTTCAGACCGACTACGACGACACCGACGACAACGACTAGGACGACACCGACGACGTCTCCGACGACTTCGACGACGACAACGACGCCGACGCCCACGACGACGAAGACGACGACGACAGACGCCAACGAAGGTGACGACGAGGGAGGAGGAAGGACGACAACGACGACAACGACGACAACGACGACAACGACAAGGGAGGAGGGAGGACGGCGACGACGCGAACGACGACGAAGGAGGAAGGACGGCGACGCCGACGACGACAACGACGAGGGAGGAGGGAAGACGACGACGACAACGACGACGACGACGGCGACGAAATAGGAGGGACGACGACGAGACGCCGACGACGGACGACGACGACGACGACGAGGGAGGAGGAGGAAGGACGACCACGGCGACAACGACGACGGAAACGACCACGACGCCAAAGAGGACGACGACGACGAACACGAGGAAAGACAGAGGACGACGTAGGACGACGACGACGACGACGCGGGAGGAGGGAGGACGGCGACGACGACGACGACGACGCAAGAGCGCGCGCGCACGCTTTTGTTGAAAATCCGTGTTGCGAAACCTTGGGTTTTTGTAGGTTTTTTGGACGCGCGATTTCGAAATCCTTCCGAAACCAATGGGTTTTGAAGGATTTCGGCGTACGCGCGCGACGACGCGCGCGTCTGCACTTCGTCCCATTTTTTGCAAAGGATTCTCGCGACGGCACACGCGCAAGGACGTTCGACAGATTTCGACATGCGCGCGCGACGCCCGTTTGGTAGCATTTTGTGAAAATCTTGAAAAACCAATGGTTTTCTTCAGATTTCGCAAGAGCTCGCGCGGAAGCTTTTCTAGCAAATCAGTGCTGCGAAACCCTGTATTTTTGTATGATTTTTGGAAACTCGATTGCGAAATCCTTCTAGCACCGAAGGTTTTTGAAGGATTTCGGCATGCGCGCGACGACGCGCGCGCGTGTGCACTTCGTCTCATTTTTTGCAAGGGATTCGCGAACAAGTGTTCTGTTAGAACCAAACATGTCACCGCATAGTGTTTTTTTTTTTTTTTTTTTTTTTACAAGGGAACCTCATGGGGGGGGAACCGGCCTGGCTGGGATGATATGATTTCATATTTAGGATGGACGAGTGAGCATCATTCATAACTATATATATATGAAATTATACTATCCCAGGGGGAAGCGTTAGGTCCGGGGGGGGGGTAGAGTCTATTCTCTTTTAAGAAAGGAGAATATATCAAGCTATGTGGTGCAAGGTATGTGGTGCACTGTTTGTGGTGCAACCTATGTGGCACAATGTATGCGTTGCAATCTGTGTGTGACGAGGCGGCGACGGGTTGGCAACGGCGGCCACATGGCGGCCAGAGCGCCCCGCGGGCCCAGGCGACGGGCGGCGACGAGGCGGCGACGGCGGCCACGTGGTGCCCAGAGCGCCCCGCAGGCCCAGCTCCTGAGCAGACATGTCAGACCGCCCACGTGCCAGCACTCCTGGCGGAATTGAAAATCCGGACCTCTGGCCCGAGGCTCCGACAGCGAGAGAACCTCTGGCCAGAGTCCAGCTCGAATCCTCTGCACGCTGCTCGGCAAGCATTCGCGACACGCCTTGGGGTAGGACTGCGCCCCGCACCGCTCTCCAAGGTCTCGAGCCTACTGGGAGGCAAAGCAACCACGTCCTCTACAAACGTCAGAAGTCAGGACTCATGTCAGGGAAGGTGGGGGGGGGAACAAAGAGGGGGGAATGTCTCAGGGGGGAATGCCGACCTGGAGTTGGCGATACATCACCGATCGGCGCTAGGCTATCTGTAGCGACAGCGCA